TTTGGTTTATTGTATTTTCAATCACACAAGTTACCCAGACAATGTATATTTAGGATGATGAAAATACAGACACTTAGAATTCTGTTTATAAAAATATACTCAAAATACAGAGAAGAGTATTTCGCTGCAGGATTGGTTTGTGATGCTGTGAATTGTTCCACTTGTCACGGTCACAGAGGCCAAAGTAAGTACCAGGAAGTAAAACTGTTCCATTCCTGATACTGGACTCCGATACCTGGATTTTGTGTATCGGTCATTTCACTGGTAGATGCAGTGATCCGATACCAGTGCATTTGAAAAACAATAACACCTCATATAATGTATTTCAATGTATTTCAAATAAATCAAGGAATACAGGAAACACCCCTGAACCTGAAGTCTTGCATACGGTACATTGTTTTACCTTTAGGACTCCAGACCGATATATTGCCACATTTCAGCAAGCTCAGGCTAACACTGCACGACCATAGATCCCTCCTTCTTCACCACTCTATAAACAGTACAGCACAACCGCCATTTTGAAGGAACGAAGAAGTGATTTCCACTTGATACTTTACAGATGTACCTGATCAGCACATATGAGCACTTGCCAATGACTGACCTGGCATTATGGCAGCATCCTGCTGGTATCAGAACCTTTCTACCTTGAAGCACAGCCGACCACAGCAATCAATACTTAAACTATTGCCATTCAGTTGAATGCATTTACATTTTTTATATGACTTTTATGGTGTCACAGTTGTGGTGTGCAGGTGGACCTAAATGCAGAAGCAAAGTTCAGTAGCAAAATAAAAGTGTTATTTAATTAAAGGCAAAAGTACTTTCAAAAATAAAGTCTGAAAACCAAAACTAGAGAAGACTAAAGTGAAGAAAAAAAATCATAGAAGACAGAGAAACAATGAGACACTGAAACCATGGCAGCAGACTGTGACAAATGAACGACAAAATGACCAAGTCAAGGGAAGCACAGAGACTTATACACACAAGGGTTGATTGAACTCAGGTGAAACACATGAAGAACAGCTGCAGACGATCACACGGACAGGAAACAGGACAAAGACAGGATTAAAGCTACAGACGCACAAGGAGTAAAAACTTCAAAATAAAACAGGAAACTGGGAACTCTGGGAAAAACCACCAAACACAAGCAAAATGTCAACAAAGAAAAGTATCCAACAAAAACCAAAAGCTCTGAATGAGACTCTCTAATGAGTCATGACAAATGGTTTATATGGTGCATGGTTCATAATTAAGAGTTTTCTTAATTAGATTATTCGTGATTCTCTGTATCTGTTCTAAAAGTAAAACTTGATTAACAGCAGTGTGGTTGATGGTGGACGCAGCTTTAACGACGACTTGTCGCTCTGTGCACTGTGTGAACATTTTTCAGCCTTGTGCTGCTTCAAAAGCCGAAGTTGGCTTCGGCCCAGTGAGCCCTTCTGGCTGGAGGGAGGCGTTTTTTGATGAATACATCATGTGCACGAGTCGAACAGGCAAACTCACCCTCATGGTTGGCGTGACGCTCCCGGGGCGGGACTTGCTGTCACGGAGCCTGAGGGTGCTGCTGTCCCCGGCAACGGGAGGGTGGAGCTGCAGCTGATGCCTCTCTTCCTGCAGGGAAGGAGGACGAGGAAGGACTTTCATTGGCCTTATTCACAGTTGGTGTTGATGCTGTTGTGTAAGAGATCTATCTGGAGGGTGTACTTGTCTGCTACGCTTGCCTCATGCCACACAGATGGTCGACACACTTTAGAAAATGGAAGTTTCTCCTTCGCAGACATGATGGCAGAAGATAAATAAACACACTACTTTTCATTTCACACTTTCACCATGTTGACTTACTGCTGGTGAAATTCAAACAATCGCAACTCACTGACGCGTTCGATCACAGTTTTCCTTAAATTTCAAAGATAATTTTTGTTCTTACCGTGTAGCAACAGTTGATTGTTGCTGAGTATTTTCAGCTGCGTGTCTGTATACACACTGATGCTCTATAGTGAAAATTCATGTTCATCGTAATTCTTCGACTCACTGATGCGTTTTTGTGGATCTCTATGGGAGGAGTCGGCTCTATCAACTACACAGGCAGCACTTCCTTTCGTGGGATTTGAACGATATTGAAAATCGCCAGACTTTTCAAAGAGCGTCCTCTGCTGTGATCAGAGGAGCAGAAAGCGTTACGTGTTCTCACCACTAATCGTTTAATGAGCTGCTCTCTCTCTGTCAGTCTCTCCTGGAGTCTCCCCAACTGCAGGTCGTCACACCGTGGCTCCCTCCTCCTGCACCGCTCCTCCCGCTCACGCAGCCTGCAGTTAAATCATATACACAAACACACACACACTTTCTCACATACCCGCAGCGATGTTCATTGTTGTGTGTATTCAGTTTGAACCCTTGCTCTCCCACGTGTCTGTCCTCTACTCACTCGTTCTCCAAGGCCACTATTCGAGCCTGCAGGTGCGTCTGCGCGCTGCTGTACTCGGACACCAGACTCTGCATCTCCCTCTTGTGCTCCCTCCGGATCTCTTCCACCTCCTCCCTCCTCTTCTCCTCCTCCCGCTCCTTCTTCTTCTCCTCGTCCACCTCCTCTTCCTTCACATCCTCCTCTTTCCGCTCCTCCCAGAGTTTCTGCGACTCCTCCAGTTTCTCCATCTCCACCCTCAGCTTCTCCACTTCCTCCTTCAGACGTTGTGCTTCTTCCTCGAGCTGGGCGTCTCTCTTCTTCTTCAACTCAGGGCTTTCCTCTTCTTTCTCCTTGACTTCGGGATTCTTCTGCACTGATCTGGGAAGAGACAGGAGATACAGAAGCAGAGGGATGTAGATGAGAAGAACGGGAATGTAATAATACAGTAAAATGTGCAGTAAACTGTAAACAGTGAAAGCAGTTTTCATTTAGTCTGAAAGAAACTGAATCATTGCTGACAGAAATACCTCTGATGATTGAAATATTATAGTTAAAAAATGCTGACTATCTAGTGTGTTGTCTTCTTAATTCAAGAGGATAATCTTTCAGTTCAGGACTTCTTGATTTCACGTTCCCTGCTTGTGCTTAGATTTGCTCTGCTTGTGCTCAAACTGTGCCCTTTCACTCCGGTTTTCAGTGCTCCAGCTAAAACTCTTGCGCCCATCTGTGAATAAGTCCTGCTCTCACACTGAAAGACCATGCTCTTGAACGCAGAAAAAAAAAATCTTTTTTCATCCAGCTGTCTTCATGGAATATTTCTTAGAGAAGACTTACCTTGGCTTGCTGAGAAATATGAAACTACAGCCAGGAGAAGGTTTTAGACTGGAAAACAGCAGCGAGAAACATTGACTGCCTTTGTTTGAAGTTAAAAAATAAACCGGCACCTCTAAAGCTCCCAAATGACTATTTTTACTGGGCCCGAGAGCTTCACAGGCACTCACAAGCAAATGTGTTTTTCCACCAGACTTTCACAAACAGACTGTGGCTGTGACATCACACAGACATAGCATCCCAAAATTCTAAAAAACGTCCAATCTGGTATGCAACTTTGTAGTTTGTCAATGCGCAAAAATGCTAAACATGCAGCTTTTCCAGTGAATGAAATGTGCATATTTTAAGCTTTTCTTTGTCTTTTATAATTACTCGCTTTGGGATGTTGATTGGAAGAAAAACAATGAATTTGCATACATCCCGTTAATGAGCATTTCACAGTCTCATCAGATGAATCCATAATGAATACTTTTGTTGCAGCTCTACAGGATATCAGTCGAGTCCAAATCTTTTTCTCATGTGTGTCCTTCTTTCTTTACCTCTCCTTTAATTGCTTCTTGAGAGTTGCATTCTCTCTCTGAAGCTCCAGGACACTGCAGCGACTCTCATCCAGCTGTCGCTCAAACACCTGATACTGATTCTGCTGCTTCAAATCCTGCGCACACACACACACACACACACACATACAAACACATAAATTCAATACACATTGTCAATATTTGTAGTAATTCCAGAATCCTGTTATATTGACTCATGTTGCTGCAGATGATAATGTACACAATAGAGGATTTTATTCATATTGTTGATCATGATACTCTCTTCCCTCCCTCCTTCATCCCTTCCTATTCAGTTTGATGCCACCCTGAGTCTCCCTTCGCCGAGTCACCACTGCTCATATACATCCTCCTGCACCATTTGAGACGCATCTTCACCTCAACCCCTTCCCTCAACATCCAATATGTCAATTTCCATTCAAACATTTTGCTTGTATGACAAATACTGTTTATACCTTTATGTTCATACTTGAGTGAGTGACAGACACACAGACTGAGAGTGAGGGGTGTGTGTTGTTTGTGAAAAAGTGTGTCTGTGTGCACGTGTCAGCACATGTGTTGCTGATGTGTGTGTGTGTGTGTGTGTGTGTGTGTGTGTGTGTGTGTGTGTGTGTGTG